AAGTGTAGACCATGCTTTGCAAGCAACCAGAAACAGAAAATTTTAAGAATGTATCAGCCACTGGTGTACCTCCAGTTCTGCATTTAGCATTGCCAAAGATTTGCAAATATTTGAAATGCACTAATTTGAATATAAATGTATATCTGCAAGATCTGATGGCATAAATTTTGCTCCTGATGCATTGCCAAAGATCTTCAGATATACACCCACTTTCTCCACCCTGGCCTTATGAGCCATGACTTGAGCTTTTTCAAAATTTTTGGAGCTGCAAAATTCTCACTAGATCAATTGCCTCCTATCTAACTCTAATTAAAGTGCACAATCAGGCTGTGCACAATCAGTGCACAATACTGCAGCCTGATGAAGCTAATGAAATTTGTCTCAGGTGTTTTTGTCACAATTACCATACAAGTGGCTCTTACCTAATTTTCCAGCTATGTTTATGAGTGTAATTAGAATTTTCCAACTTATTAATGAAATCCTGCAGCTCCAAAGTGACAAATTGGAGCTGCAGGATTTCATTCATAAGTTGGAAAACTCTAATAACACTCGTAAACCTAACTGGGAAATCAGGCAAGAGCCACTCGTATGGTAATTGAGACAAAAACGCCCAGGAATGTGGTCCATTTCACCCATTATTATGAAACCTTAGACATTTGCTCAATGTAAAATGAAAAGAACAAATTTTATGCATTACTTTCAAAAATCACCTGTGAAATGATTTTCTGCCCCAAAGTTTTTTATCTTCCCTGTATTCCTGTATTGACTTGGCAAGTGGATTTTTGAAGCAAAGAATTGATGGAATTTTCCCACAGGAGCCTATCCCATGCCACCAGGGATGGAATAAAATAACCTTGTAATTATTCCATCTTCATGGTATGTTCTCTGCACATACAGAAATGCATCAGATGACAGAAAACACATAATTTAAAAATAATTAACTCTACAGGCTAGTCAGCCGCAAGTGCACATAGCGACTTACGTGTGGCATAAGGGCTTATATTTGGATGTAACTCTAGTGGTGTTATTATCAAAACATTTGTGTAGGATGCTATGTTAAGGAAGCTGGGCTCTTTGGGCTAGAAGCTATGTGTGGCTCTATGCCTGCTCGGAGGTGTTGTAAGTGGAGTAACGTACAAGTTTTGAGTATGCCAAAGCAATGTAAAACTATGGATCTACTTGCAACATGGTGAATTGTAATAGAATTTTGTCAATAATTTGACATAGGCATAATATGTGATCGTGCTAAATGGTGCTTTTGGGAAAAATTTTTCAATTGAGTTTATGCCAGAAGCTAATTTGTTTTCCTTTTGTGCTATACTGTAATTTACAAGCAAATGTTGACATTCATGTCTAAGAGTTTTAAGATCATTCGCTTGAACAATATCTCAAAGCTTTTTGATTTAAAATTATGTTGAGGTTGATAAGCCAACCATTTTTCTAGTTCCCTGTAAACAAATTTAGTTCTTTTTATGACTGTTGCAACTCCAACTCGTGACATTTTCTAAATTCTATGTAACCCTCTAAAAAAAATTCCTAATTTTGAGTGGAATAATGTAATTTTTTGCCTTCATAAGTCTTACCTTTTTCCCTTTTTTATCCATAGATATCCCAAATCCTAGTATTGAATTATTTGATTGGATGAGGCTCGTCCAAAACTCTAAGGTAACTGGGCCAAGCATCAAAGCCCACAATAAAGCTCAACAAAATACTTGAGTAATTTAAGTCGCCACAACACTTATGTTGCCAACCTTCAATGAAAACTATCTGCTGATAGAAACTAACCTCAACTTTCTATCATAAGCAATACCTACTGATTTGTAGTTATGTGTGGTAATCAAACTTAACATATTGTAGTTGACCAGTTTTAAAAGGTTATAAAACTTAGAAATCATGGAAAATCCAGTGATTTTAGAAATTGTCTTACTTTAGTTTGATCTACATAGTACTGTAGGCTGACAAGAAACACATACCAAAGTGCAACAGAAAACAACACAACCCTAACTTCACACTGGAGATAGCCTGCCTCATCCAATCAAATAATTCAATACTAGGATTTGGGATATCTATGGATAAAAAAGGAAAAAAGGTAAGACTTATGAAGGCAAAATTTACATTATTCCACTCAAAATTAGGAATTTTTTTTAGAGGGTTACATAGAATTTAGAAAATGTCACGAGTTGGAGTTGTTACAGTCATGAAAAAAACTAAATTTGTTTACAGGGAACTAGAAAAATGGTTGGCTTATCAACCTCAACATAATTTTAAATCAAAAAGCTTTGAGATATTACAAAACAAATTCACAGAGCAACAGCAACGGGCTTGGCTCAAGTTCCTGGAGACACTGAACCACAAATCCAACATCACACATCTTTACAGAACAATACGCAGCTTACACAACACAAACAGCAAACAAGAACACACCCACGCAGCCATCACCACCAACACAGACAACATCCCCACCAGACAAGCACAAGCAAACTAGACAAGCAGAGCAAACGGGCACAAGCAATACTAGTCTACGCAAACATAAGTAGGTTACCCAAATACAAAGAAGACAGAGGCACCATCAGACGCAAACAACAATTTCCACTAGACCCAACAGCTACCCTAGCCAGCACAAACGACACCAAAATGGTCATACAACAAATTAAAAACTCTTTCGCTGCTGGGCCCGACAACATTACAAACGCACACCTTAAACACCTTGGCCCACACTGTATCACAACACTTACAAACATTGCCAGCTTCTACTCACACTCCAAAATAACATACATCTGGATAATTGGCAAAATAATCACACTTCTCAAACTCAACAAACCACCCACTGAGGCCGCCTTATACAGACCAATCACACTCCTCTGTACACCATCAAAAGTCATAGAGCGCATCATACTGAACACAGCCACTCCACACATTACACTTTCTCCAACACAACACGGATTCAGACCTCACCACTCGACCACAACACTACTCACAAACCTCACCACTCGACCACAACACTACTCACAAACCTCACCACTCGACCACAACACTACTCACAAACCTCACACAAAGCATAAACGATGGCATCAACTCCCGCAAACCCGCACACAGAACACTACTACTTACAATAGACATCAGTAAAGCCTTTGATGCCATCCCTCGCCTCCCTCTCACAAACAAAATTTACAACACCACACTACACAACAACAACAAACACTGGCTTGCCAATTACCTATCAGGCAGACAAGCATACGTACACTACTCAGGCAAGTCATCACACACATCGCTCATACCCAACGGAGTCCCGCAGGGCTCTGTCCTATCACCCTCTTCAACCCATACATGCATGACATACCCAAACCACCTCCAAACATCCACATTGCCTCCTATGCAGACGACGTCACAATAACATCCACTCACCCATCTGCAGACATATGTACTCAACAAGCGCAAACATATCTCAACACTTTATCACAATGGCTCACACTGAACAGACTCAAGGTCGCTCCTAGTAAATCCACAAACACATTAATGAACAGCCACACAAAGGAGCACCAATACAGACCAAACATCACATTAAACAACACTCTGATCCCACACACACACGAAACAAAAATATTAGGGGTCACTTACAACACCTCCATGACATTCGGCCCTCACATCAACAACATGGTGAACAACGCAAACATCAGACTCAACTCACTTTGGGCCCTAGGTGGTACCAAATTCGGCAAAAACAAGGAAACACTAGCACCAACATACAAACAGTTCAGCAGAACAGTGCTGGCTTATGCCAGCCCTGCCTGGGCGCCCGCACTATCCAACACAAACATACAGAAACTCCAAACACTACAAAACAAGGCACTCAGGATAGTCACAGGCTGCACACAAAGCACCCCCATAGAACACCTTCATGCAGAAACAAAAGTACTTCCCATAAAAGCACACCTCGACATGAGAGGAACACAATTCGTAGCCGCAGCCATAAACAACACACAACACCCATGCCACTACCTACGCAACCACCCACCCACACACTGACAAATAGATCAAACCCCACACAGATACTACACCAACATACTAGATACAGTACCCCCACCCCAAGGCAACACTAGCACAAAAAAACACTTACACGCAATTATGACACTTAGAACACTGGAGCTGGCCGGCAACAACAAAGTTCTTGGACACCCACCACCTGACATAAGCAGCACAGAATTACAGCTCTCTAGACTGGAGATAGTACACCTAGCCAGGCTGCGCTGCAGCCACCACCCTTCACTACAAACATACACAAACAGAATAGGCCAAGCAGACACAGACACCTGTCCATCCTGCCAGAGAGCTCCCCACACAATCCCTCACATTTTCCTGGAATGTCCGCTCTGGCAGGATCTCAGACAACACCACCACATAAACTCAACCCTACAGCTCTGGAGCGAGCCCCTGTCGGTGGTGTCGTACTTGTGCGAGGGGGGCCTCTTATAAAAATGAGACCACAACAACAACATAGTACTGTGAATGGTGTACTCAAATATTGAATCTTATAATAAAGGTTCTGTTTCAATTTTTTGAGGATATGCAAGAGAGCATGTGAACAAGAGTTCCATGTGATAAGTTACATAATCGGAATTATTTTTATCTTTTGCTTGATTAGCAAAGTTATTATGCAATATGTGGCGCACATGTTTAGAGTCACAATTCTAAAATAATTCACTTTGATTTATGGCAGTAGGTATATTGACTCTAAACAAAACTTTTATCAATCAATAAATTTTCCAAAACTGTAACAACCAAAAGAAAATTTTTAAGTTTGAGAAAAGCTTTGATTAACTTCAAATATTCTCTATTTGTTGGTAACTTCATCTGTGACTGAATTGAGTAGTCCAGTAGTTCCCAACCATTTTGTGATTGAATTACGCTTCAAAGTCCTATAGAGTGATTGCCTAGAGCCACATAGGTATAGTTGATATATTATTGTTGTGTTGCAGGTTTGCAATTATTGCTATTTTCTAATTGCTCTTTGATTAGCTTTCCTTATTCTTTGCAGACATTTAACTGAAAACATGGAACTTTTATTTGCATACCAGTATCAGCAAGCATTAAGGAGAGAAAGAGTGTACAGGGACCCACTAGATTTAGTACATATTTCTGATCAGGAACTTATTAGAAAATACCTGTTTCCACGTCATGAAATCATTAATCTGGCTCAGGAATTAGAACCACTGCTGCAGAGAAACACATCAAGATCCCATGCTATACCTGTCATTACACAAATTTTGGCTACCCTTCGCTTCTTTGCAAGTGGATCATTCCAAAATGTACTTGGTGACTCCAGTGGATTATCCCAACCAAGTGTGAGCAACGTTATCACATCTGTGACGAATATTCTTTCACAAAAATCTTTAAATGAAATCAAAATGCCTGCAGGTGTTATTTCACTCCAGCAAAGCATGAGGGATTTTCATGCCTTAGCTGGCTTTCCAAGTGTCATTGGAGCAATTGATTGTTTCCACATGCCAATCAAAGCACCTGTGGATGATGAAGCCATCTTTGTTAACAGGAAAAAGTATCATTCAATAAACATTCAAGTTGTTTGTGATGCTAACAGAAGGATTCTCAATTTTAACGTCAGCTACCCTGGTAGCACTCGTGATGCTTTCATCTGGAGGAACTGTGCTCTACGAGCCAGATTTCAACGTGGAGAATTTGGAGATGGCCTGCTTTTGGGTAAGGTAAATTTTTGCTCATTTTCAGTTAGTACTTTCTTTAAAAAATTATTTCATCCTTCCATGCACTAATTTAAATTAGCTAATAGTTATTTAATTATTATACAATTCTATGCATTTTGTTGCATAGTTTTAATTGCTGTTTCAATATGATTGTATTTTTTGCTTCCAGGAGATAGTGGTTATCCCCTTGAGCCATTCCTGATGATACCATTTGCCAACCCTGCATTGCCAGCTGAGCAAGAGTACAACAGAAGCCACACAAGAACTAGAGCGATCATTGAACAAACTTTTGGAGTCCTGAAGTCAAGATTCAAATGCTTACACAAATCAGGTGGGAATCATAACATTATTAATGAAATGCTTAATATATTCTCGAAAGTTATTCCCACTGTCTGGCATAATTGATTCTATGATTGAAAAAATATGCATGGGATTACTGTAGGTCTTCTTTTGAGGGATGCATATATATATATATATATCCCAACTATCTATATTCTGACTACCGGATTTGTCTGAACTCTGAAAGAATTTTCCGAGTAATTTTTGATCCAAAATTTTACTGTTGTATCCTAGTTACTTATAATATGTACTTATTTCCACCAAAATTTCAATGTTTAATGCTTCTTTAACTTGAGAATGAATGTTTGTTGCATTCGAAACGTCATTAATAAATAAGAATTACTTCCTGATACTTGCCTTTTGATCTACCGTTCAACTGAAGAAAAGTTCCATTCACTGATACTAGAAATCAACAAATTCTCTGGTCATCGATCGCACGTGTGTAAACAAGTAAATCCTGCCATTTAAAATACATATATATATATATATATACACACAAACACACACACACATATATATATACTACTGCTAGCTTTGAGCATGCAGTTCCAATATGTGCTCTTTATATCCCCACAGGTAGAAACCTCCAATATGAGCCTTTGAAATTTGCCAGGATTATTGCAGCCTGCTTGTTACTTCACAACCGCTGCATTCTTATGAACCTACCAAATCCTGATGATTATGAAGAGAGAAGAGACAACATGGAGCCTGAAGAAGAACAAGGTCATGATGAAGGAGAAAAAGGTCTTGGCAGGCAAGTTCGCCAGACACTTGTTCAGAATTATTTTTGATCCATGAACCAACAGTTCATGTCGTGGAAACCAATTGTAATTTAACATTTCTTTACAAGGGAAAGCATTATGATATTTTGCTTTTTATCTATAATGAAGGCAAGTCATATGAAGAAAGATTAATGACTATGAAGCTTCTGAGCCTCTGTTATTGACATCTGCATCAGACCTCATTGAAGCATACAAATATACTCATGGCTTATACAAGGTCCCAGGATTACTAGAATTTGAAACAAGAACCAACACCAGGGGCCATGGCTGTAAACTAAAAAACTGCATTTCAACTCAACCATGCAACAAAATTTCTTCTCACTCCAAATCACCGACATGTTGAATAGCCTCCCCAATTACGTAATTGATGTTCTGAGGATAAATGCTTTCAAGAACAGACTAGATAAAGCTATGGAAAAATATATGTTCAGACTTGAAATGCCTAGAACCATATCTAGTAGCTATTTCAAACTATCATCAGTTTGGAAAAGATCTGGTTGAATGACATGTTTTAGATCTCCTGTGGACAAGTCTCAAAAAGTTCAAGAATTGGTGACAGGCCATGTCAGGCCTACTCTTCAGCACTGACATCACTATGTTATGTTATACCACGAAGCTCGTTATTGCCCCATCACTGATGCAGGTGTAAACGCTTCTGTACATATTAAGATTTGGGCAGGGAAAAGCAATAAAGTGAAAAATTTTTAATCACGATTCAAATATGTTTAAAGCCCTGGAATTTTGGTAAATATTATACAGAAGACATAATTCTTTTGCATACTTCCCAATAGGTAAGAACAATCTTCATTTCAACATGTTGCAAGGTAATTGCAGAAGAAAATTGTGCCAGTATTTTATTAATATTCTTGATCATAAATTTTCCTTGAAAAAACGCAATGTACTCTGTATAAGCTATTCTAAGACATCTGTTGCTGTTTTATAACAGCTGATGCAAAGTAAATTGTCAGTCTCAAATTGAATTAATTCACAAATCTAGCCAATTCATGAGATTATTTACTTAATTATAAAGCTATTTGTATATAATGTACGGTATTCAAAATCATAGAATCGTATGAGTTGCTTTCTAACAAGTTGAGCGAATGTTATTCTTTTCAATAGCCGTGACTCTTTTGGGGACAGATATGAAGGCATTAAATAAATCCCAATTGTACAGTTATTATTGGTGTAATACAGCAACAAGGCACTGAGAGTTCTCACTTTGTACAAAACATAAAAATAAACTAACAAAACAATATTACTTGTAACTTCCTCTTTGGCACAATATTGCCCAACGAAATCCTACTAAACAGTGTGAGTCCTCACTTCATAGAAAAATAGACTAGCAATTCTAAATTATTCATAGTTTCTCTTTGGTACCATAATGACGCAATTGATACTAGGAAAAACTTAACTGATGGCAAGTAAAAAAATGGGCTAGTGAAAATAAAATTGTTTAGTGTCTCTTTTGGCACATAATGTACATAATAAGAGTAAAAAGTTAAAAAATTAGCATAATGAGCATAATATTGTTGGCTCTGAAATCCAATTAAGGTGGTCAGTGAGCTGTAAAAGAGGTGAAAATAACTAATTCAGGCTATGAGAGAAAGCAATATTTGTTTAGATAAAAGAAATGGCATCTTCTAAAGACATCAACAAACCAATTTTTCAATATTATAGAGAGAAATTGACTTGGATTCTTTGAAAAATGAAGGCAGTTAACATTGGCATAGCCAAAAATTTCAGACGCCAAAATTTCTAGGAAAACAATGGAAAATTAAAAACAATAAAACTGACATGATGTTCAATTTATCAATGTGAGACATAACGCTTTTCATTGGACTCCAACATAAAAATTTTATTTGAATGGAAGCTAATAATCTCACGTAAGTACTTAATTAGAAATCATGCTCTGAACCAGGATTCTAGTATCATAAAAATATTTTGAAATACATGTATTGATATTGAATAGTGATAAAAATAATATGAATTATGTCAATTTATAGGTTTTCAAGTTTGGCTGTACTTGCAAAATCCCTTGCAATCTTCATTGTATTTTCAGATTTAAGTAATGCTGCCAATTTCTCACTATTAATTGCTATACATTCAGTTATACCCACTAAGTCATTGATAGAGGTTGATATGTCCCTCTTAACAGTTATAATATATATATAATCCTTTGCCATGGTGTGATTAGGAGCACCACTTATAATAGTAATAATATAGCGGTTTCAGCGTTTAGTAGGCCGTAGGCCTGTTGGTGATTCTTTACATCACAGAAAATTCCCAGTTTGTTGTGGTCTCGAACTTGCAACTCACTGTTACAATTCTGCTTTTAACCGCCTGGCCTCCTTGCTGATTCTGACCAGAAACTGATGCACAGAGCTGGGATCAAACCCTCACCTCTCTGCACCAATCTTAATACTCTGAACTGTAACCACTGGGCCACCCTGCCACTTTGACTTTTTCTTTTCTAAGTGTACGTTTCAACAGATGCATTTTTTGTCACACTTGCAGCTGAAGTTGATTTGCACATAGAGGTTTCTTGTTGCATTTCATTTATAGTTTGCATCGCGGGCTCTGTATTGATGCAATTCACACTCACAGATAATATTTTGTACAGTACAGGCTCTTTATCAGGTTCTCTAGGGGTGCACATATTAAATTCATCAGAGGGGAAACTTCTAGTCCCTGAAGGAATGCAAGTTCTAGTCTCTGAAGGAGTGCAACTTCTAGTCCCTGGAGGGGTGCATTTTTCAGTCCCTGAAGGGGTGCAAGTTCTAGGTACTGTAGATGCCAATTGTCTGCTTGCAGGTGTTATCTTCCTTGCGCTTACAGTACCTAGTAACATGGTCTTGGTAGATGTAGCTCTCTGAAGAACTGCTGGCATTTGTGGCAATAATTTTGGTCCATGCTGGAAGAAGGAAGATACTAGCAGAAGGTGCAGCAATTGCAGGATCAATGATCCTTTAAGGAGCGGTGGCATGAATGCCTGAGGGACCTGGACCTGCATGAAGAAACCAGTCATCTTCAGCCGTTGTAACAGTTTCAGGTGAAACAGGTGTTGTACCTTCCAAATCCATGATCTCAAGGCAAAGTACTTGAGCCTCTTCGGGCTGTCTATCTTTTCCAACTGGAACAGGAGACATGTTTAAATCTTTTTGGGAATTTCATTCAATATTATCAGAGCACTTTTTTAACACAAAGTGGATTTTTTTACTTCATAGTGGTAAATATGTGTGCCATGAATTGTATTTCTCCAGGATGCAGTGATACATAATTCAGGGTTGCCAGATGGCCCAAAAATGGCCAAGTTTGCAAACAAATAATATATGTTTAAAAATTACTTTTTAAAGACAACATTTCGAAAGAACCCAGTGTCTCCAATGTTAAAGATGTACAATGAATTTCTCATTTTATTTTCGAATATTAAAAAAATTAATTTTTCAAAATTTTTTAATATATACTTTTTTCAAAATTATTTATTCTGTCACTTGATTCATGCATTGCCTCTGACTTCACACAAGTGTGCAAAATTTCAGATCAATTGGACAGGTACAAGTGTGTCAAATATCAGTTATAAGATTTGTAGCTGACAAAATTATTTTTTCAATTTTTTTAATATTGAAAAAATTTTTTTTTATTTTTAAAATCATTTATTTTGTCATTTGATTCATGCATTGCCTCCAACTTTACGCAAGTGTGCAAATTTCAGATCGATATGATAAGTAGAAGTGTGTTAAATTTCGATTATAAGATTTGTAGCAGACAGACAGACAAACAAGAAGTGAAGTTAAAGAGAAGTGTTGTAAAAACGCCTATAACTCAATATATACTAGTATATTTATTTCTAAGTTCCGGTGTTTGAACTTCATTTATTTTTTGGAGTTTTTAAAATTTAATTGGGAAGTGCCCCTATCATAAATTTGAGCTGGTCAATGCAATTGAATAAAACAAAATTGTGGAATTCGTCCAAAAAAATAACCGCCTGACAACAGTTTCCCAATAGTAGAAAAAAATTAAATAATAGTACAAGATGAAGCAATTGGGTTCAACGTCATAAGCAGTACAATTCATGCAGAGAAGACGCTTTTTAGTCCCAAATCAAAATGATGCTCAATTAGGTCAGAATTGTTATACATTTTCCACTCTGACTAATCATTATATGTGATGATTGAATAGATAAAGGAGTTGTTTAAAAATTTTTCAATTTACTCACCAATTATTATTTATTAACTATTAACACTTTTTTCATATTTAATATTTAATGGATTATATTCAAAGTGGGTAAAAAGTTACTCTTCCCATCTATTTTAATTGGCAAGCTGCTATCATAATCCTAGGTTTCATATGAAGGCAGTAACGAGCAGAAGAGGTAATGCATATCAAAAACTTGAAACTGCAAATGCAAAATGAAATTCTCGACTCACCTGCATTGGAAACATTTTGTTCACTCTCAGGGTATCCCACACTAAACACAGCCGTTTTTGACAACAAAAGTAGCATGGCCTCTTCTCCAGCAGAATATTTGATATCCACAGCAGGCCCTCTACCTGGATGATAAAGAAAAAGCATGACAACTAAAGAAAAATTATTTCTACACATTATATTATTTTTAACCAGTGTGTAGCTCTAGTGCCAGATTTATTAAAACAATACCAATAACATTTTAATAAAAATCTCTCTATAATGTTGTGTGATCTTTCATGGTTTATATATGAGTAATAGATAGAAAACAATCACAAATATTCAAGAGACTTTTTCAAAATCTACTGATATAAAATTTAATACAAATGGTTTTTGGAAATAATAGGTGAAAATGAGTCATTCTACTCAACATAACCAAAGAAAATTAGGTAATGCCATGGAAACTGTTAATTTGTTTATGAGCTTTGGCAGTTTCAAAACAAAACTGCCCTAGCTCATAAACAATAAACTTTTGACTCTGTGGTGGCTCCTGCAGGATACTTCATTTCATCTATGGTAGTATTATGTAAGAAAATCTTGAAGCATTGATTTTTATAAAGATATAACGCACAAAAGTGAGGCTCCTCCAGCTATTGAGGAGCGCCTATTAGGCTCGAAAGTTTTGAAATACCTACATGAAGAAGAGGTTTTCAAGCGCCTGGTCGCTCTTAATCCAAACAAGTCATGTTGACCAGATGGCTTCCACCCTAGATTGCTAAAAAAATTAGCAACCGTCCTGGCCGGCCTTTTGACAGTATTATTTCAAAAAAACCTTAAATGAAGGAACTTTGCCGACTGTTTGGGAGGAAGCTCAAGTAACACCATTGTTCTAAAAAGGTGATAACAGTAGCCCCAGTAACTATCGCCCTATCAGCCTGACAAGTGTTGTTTGTACGGTAATGGAATGTGTTGTGTGAGATAGTATTGTCAATCTCTTGTCTGTTCACCATCTCCTATCAGACTGTCAACATGGCATTATTGTTGGTAGATCCTGCACTACTAACCTCTTGTCTACGGTGAACAATTGGACTTGCCTGTTGGAGCGAAGGGAGCCAGTGGATGCAGAGTACCTCAATTTTGCCTGGGAAGAACAATGAACAGCAAGATTACAGTATGAGAAGACATGGTTGCTACGAGAGAGTAATGATTGAAAAGTCTAGCATGGAAAAAAATTTGGGAGTTATAAAGACATAACTCGCTTAAGCAAGGCTCCTCCAGCTATTGAGGAGCGCCAAGTAGGCTCGAAATTAACAAGTGTTGAAATACATGAAGAGTTCCTCAAGCGCCTGGTCGCCCTAAATCCAAATAAGTCATGTGGACCAGATGGCTTCCACCCTAGATTGCTCAAAGGATTAGTTATTGGATTTTTTAAGTAAAATCGACCCCAAGATCAGGTCAAAGGGCCGGTTTTTAGATCTCCTGTGGACTAGTCACGAAAAGTACAAGATTTGGCAACAGGCCACATCAGGCGTATTTTGCACACAGCTTTCTACTGAATCAACTTTCATTTGCAGAACAAAATGCTTAAAAAATAATTGTAGAATAAAATTAGGCATTGAGTATCGTTATAGATTATGTGGCGTCTTGAATTCATATAAGAATCCAACCATGCACTATCAAATTCTAAAATAGGCATATAAATTTCCTGTCTGACAAATAACTCATATCAACTAATGAGGTAAAAAGTATGGAAAGTAGATATTACAATGTATGCAGGTAATGCATTATAACTGCAAAGCCAAAATTTATTGTTGATGGAATTTTGGAAATGGATATTGAATTATCAAGTAGAAATACACATATTAGTATTTCCACTGTAGTTATCTGCTGCTGCTTTTTTCAAGTTTGTTCTAAGGCTATAAATCTTTTTTCTAACTTCAGCCATATTTTTTCATTAATGATACAGCATTAATACTATCAATAGGACCATAACAGCTTGCCACTGTCCTGCTTTATTTTTGTTGGGAACTGTATCATCAAATCTACCTAGTAAAATTCCTTGCCTGTCCACAGCTTTAGTTACTAACACTAGGACTTTTTCATTACTGAAATTAGGTTGTTTTTTTTACTCCACAACTGAAATAAGACTGGCCTCAGACATAATACAGGAGAGAACTAAACTGGGCCTGGCTGCGGGCCAATAAGGTGCATTAACGACTACGGACTGGCACTTGTGAGATGGCTTTGAAGTCCACAGTGTACAAAATTGTAGTACAATTTAAGGATCTTAGATTAAGAAATTGCACCTTATGTTAAAAATTGGAATTCCAAATCATTACTGTTACTGTACCGTGACTCCAATAGTTGCTTGTAGTCACGAACTATAGTCAGCCCAACCGCACGGCTAGCTAGCGGCAATGAATCAACAGTCAGTAGAACTTCAGATCCCATCCGGTGCAGACTTGTCCACTTTGGTCTCATCATCTTTGTATCTTCAGTTAGTCTTCACCGTAATTCGACCACCTTGTTCTCTGGGCGCTTTTCACCTGATGCGTACACCTTCGCCGTATCTCCTGAGTTATCCCTACACTTGCGGAGACGCTCGCTACTACCTCGACGAGCAGCACGTGCCGGTGGTGACGTGGATGATCAACCTGTCTTGGCGGTTGGCTTTGGGAGATGTTGAGATCTGCAGGGAGGCCCACGATCTTAGCGCTGATGGCCCCACGGCGAGATCACGGTACGAGTCCAGGAGTGTTCGTGTTCTCATTCAGTATGGAACTGTTTCCGATCGCTGAGCAAGTTCCTTTTTAATATAAAGAGCTTCTACGTCATAAACCATTTAATCAGTCAGTTTGAATTGGAATTCTAATTTACAATCTAATTTGAAATCACTTTGAAATTCTGTAATTGAAACCTTTGTGAACTATTTGCAGGCGTGTGAAGTGGCGCTAAAGGTGGAAGATGCCTGGAAAGAGTCTGGGTCAGAAGCCTTACTAGCTTCTGAGTTTCGTTCAATAAACTTGTTTCGTTCCTTGACTTTAGTCCATTTTCCCCATTATTTAGTGCATGGCGACCATGACAGGACTTGCTCAGACTCCCTCGTTTCCTGGCATCTCCCACGCCATCGGCCATTGGTGAGCATTCATCCAATCATTTGTGTGATGTTTGCCCTGTGATACTATATCTCTGATCATTGTTGTCTATTGTTGCGGTGTACTACTGTCGTGCATTAAATTTATATTCTCGTGCAATTTATACTCTATCAATTTATATTAGGGTGTCTGATGTTCTCAAATTTTTTAATGTGTCTTTGATCGAATGCTAGTCGTCTAGATCCAGCATTTATATTGGTCACCTAAAATTTACTTATATCTATTCTATATTGTATATTCACGATGGCCTCTGAGTCAGTTGAGAAGCCCGTGCAGACTAAGGTCATGATGACGAAACGTGCCGGCAAACGCCAAGCGGTCACTAAAACCATAGTCAAGGTCCAAGCGTCATTAGACACTTTGTCTGACCAAGATTGTGCCTTCTATATTGAGAAATTGACTGATCTTCAGCGTAATTTGAGCCAGTTGGACGAATCTATATCATGCGCAATGCTTGAAGACGGATCTTGGAACCAAGATCGGTATATTTCTGAATGTGACACCAATGATGATTATACTGACAACATTGCCAGATGCATATTGACTCTAAAATCTAAGGCGACGACTCAAGCTCGTAGTGCTGAGCCAGCCCATAATATTTCGTCAGGCGTCAGCCATAAAGTTACGTTGCCACACATTGAGCTTCCTACATTTGACGGAAAGCCAGAGTCATATACCAAATTTATGGTATCTTTCGAAAATTTGATTTCCAAGTAGAATTTGTCTCCTTTTGAAAAATTTTCATATTTATCTAAACAGCTTACTGGAGTTGCCAAAAAATTGATAGAATCATTGAGCCTTAACGACCTTAATTATGAAAGTGCAAAGAAACTTTGTAACAAACTTGACCAGCAATTCTCTGTGATATCTAATCTGTGTGCTCTTAAACTCGACCATAATGCTAAAGATGCCTATTCTTGGATCGGGGAGGCGAGGTTGTTGGACGAACAGATCCAGTCGTTGCAGATTACAGCCGAGGTATTTACCCAGTACTTTATGTGGCAAGGCTTGAACGATAAATTTCGTAAACATTTGACTGCCGTAACTACCAAAACTCGCCCCTCGTGGCCACTGATGAAGGATGCTTTGTTCGAGGCGAACTTGAGGTTTGTCGAAGAGCAGAAGCTTTCTCCCGTGGTTACACTTGAGTCTGTTGCTGCAGCAGCCGCTGTAAAATCCAAAGTTACTTACCGTGGTACTTGTGCATTATGTTCTAAAGATCTGTCGGTGGATGCCAATCACACGTTGAGTCAATGTCCAAGATATCCTGACGTCGAATCTAAGGTAGCTAAACTTAAACTTGTGTCTGGTTGCTTGAAATGCGGATATACAAACCACACTACCAAATCTTGTTCCTTTAAATTTAAACGAAGTTGTTTCAAATGTAATGGCCCACATATGACTTTTCTGTGCCAGAAAGATTCTAAAACTGCGGTAGTAGCTAAGCCTACAGGCAATGTTAAATCTAACGTAAAATCTACTGCTACTAACGTCGTTGCTACAGTGTCCATGGCTACTGAATCCTTCAATGACGTGATTTTGCCTACTGCTACAGTATATTTTCCTGGTGCTCAGGATGTTCCTGTACGCATTTTCAAAGACATTGGCTCACAATCTTCTTTTGTGAAAGGCACCCCGAAAACGATTCCTAACTGTACAGTGTTGAGAAAGGTCAAGGTTAATGTTAAAGGTATCAATTCTGTCAAGTCTTATAACGCTCCAGTAGTGCGTTTCCCTNTAAAACCTTTGTGAACTATTTGCAGGCGTGTGAAGTGGCGCTAAAGGTGGAAGATGCCTGGAAGGAGTCTGGGTCAGAAGCCTTACTAGCTTCTGAGTTTCGTTCAATAAACTTGTTTCGTTCCTTGACTTTAGTCAATTTTCCCCATTATTTAGTGCACACAGAATGTGATCAAATCCAAAGCCTGTGATTGGTCAGTTAACCAGATGATTTTGATAATAGCATTTCTGGTAAGTTTTGAATACGCAAGTTTTTATAATTCCAAAATTAGGGTGCACTTAAGCAACTTGTATCTTTTTGTACGTAAGTTTTAATTGGCGTAAAAATGTTATAGCAGCAAAACTGCTAATATTGCAAAAATAATAATAGTGGCATAAATTTTAACATTTTTCTTATCTATGTTGCATAAAGAAAGTTAAGAAATAATAAATTTACTAGCTCTATAAAATCCCTGAAATAAAATGTTGAAAGTGGTATTTCAAAAAGGTACTTTTGCTAAGGTCTGTAGTAAAAAAATATTTGCCATATTAAAAAATTTTTCTTGAAAAAAAGTTGCAGACAGGTGTTGGCTTTAAAACTTCATTGATGGAATGTTTGCACCTCAATTCAAGCACAAAATGGTAGCTATTTCTGCAAGACAAATAAGAGATCCCCCCTGGGGTAATAAGGGACGCCCCTAAAGATGCATTAACAGTAGAACCTCATATGGCAAAGGTTCCAGTTAATGAAAAATCTGATTATCAACAAAGAGTTTTGATTACATTTACCTCACGTGGTGAAAAATTTTCACTTGATGAAAAATTAATGCATCTTTGGTCATCACAAAATTGTGCATTGAATGTCATCAATATAATTGTGCACCGGGCAACATGGAATGATTAGTAATTAACCTAACCTATGATTTATTTTTCTAAAAAATATGATGGTTGCCACAAAAATGTTCAGGTTTCAGATATGTTTTTAATTTTTTGATTATAGTGAGTTCACTTGACCAATTAAAATGGTGCAAAATTACAAGCCCAGTCCTGTAAGCTTACAGATCAGAAGAAATGCTATACCTATGCCTGCTGATATGAAGCTTGCAGTGGACAAGGTCATTGTTGTAAAGGAATCAGGACTCACTCCAGAGATCCAAGTGAAGCTTGGAAGATCCCAAATTACGGTCCCTGAGTTAGTCCAGCCAATCGGGTCCACAGCCGCTCGAGAGTAACCAAACCAAGCCAAGGGAGGTGACAGAAACGCAACAGATTCTTAAACATATACTTAAGGTTGGTAAACTAAGGGGAAGCCCCAGATGCAGGACGGGCTCCGAGATGTATGTACGGTCCAGGGAGCAGGCACGACTCAGGACACGGGCACGGCTCAGGAAGCAGGTACGGCTCACGAGGCAGGTACGGCTCACGAGGCAGGTCAGACTCAGTGAAGCAGGTCAGACTCCGTGAAGCAGGTCAGACTCCGTGAAGCAGGTCAGACTCCGTGAAGCAGGTCAGACCCCGTGACGCAGGTCAGACTCCGTGAAGCAGGTCAGGTAACTCCAGAGCCAGAGCTCCAGGTAGGAGGATGACGAAGCTGAATAGGCGCTGGAAGACCGGTAGGCGTAGAACAGGATCAGGAGTTTAGCAGAGACAGGAGCCGGTACGTTTACTCGTGGATGAGTAGCCCTCTGGTGGCCAGTCAGTGGGTCTATCTGTTACAGAAGGCATGGGTCAACAATCGCCGGTCTGGAACATTCGGGTTTACATGAAAGGCATGATAAGAGGAGCCGAGGGATTGCGAGAGACTAAGTATTTGACCGTAGTTCAGTGTGACCGTCTAACTGCAGATATGGACAATGCTGCTCAAGGCAGGTAAACTAACAGGAATCGCAAGTCTGACTTACCGAAGTCGGGAGACTATCAGAGCACCGACCGCCCCCCACGAGTTCTGAAGAGACAATGAACAACAGCGGAGACCTGCGGCTACTAATTGGCTATGATGACATGGCGCTGTTGCCATATCATAGTTGTTGCCATGGCGCTGTTGCCATATGGAGGAGTCAAAAAATCCCAGTGGATGACCAGTGCAGTTAAGACTCAGCTAAAGACCAAGAAAGAAGCCTACAAGCGTTATTTACGAACTCGCAGCGAGTCTGATTATAACCTGTATGCCAGAGCTCGAAATCAAGCTAAAAAAGTTTGTCGCACTGCAGTGAAAAACTTCGAAAAAAATATTGCTAAAAATGCTAGTGGCGCTAAAGGTGGAAGATGCCTGGAAGGAGTCTGGGTCGGAAGCCTTACTAGCTTCCGAGTTTCGTTCAATAAACTTGTATCGTTATCTGACTCTGGTCCATTTTCCTCATTATTTAGTGCAAGTAAAGTTCCGGAAGTACAACACAGCCGCCCGACGGTAATAAAGTTCCGGAAGTCCAGCACAACCGCACGACGGTAATAAAATTCCGGAAGCAATTCAAAGCAGGAAACAAGTCGGTCAGGCTCCTGGAGCGACTACACAACACGTCTGATCTCCACCGCGTCTCAATCTGAACTGTTATATATTTATCTGTTCTTAACGTCTGATTTGTGGATTACTAACTTCAGATTAACGTGGAATATAACTTATAATCTTAGTAAAATCTCTTAATTATGATCAGTGATCAAATTCTGTGACCAATCCCAGTTTTCCTGTGACCAATCCCCAGACTATTAATTTCATTTGTTCTATCTCGACAATACTTGGGCCAAATTTGCTAAGCCAAAATGTTTCCCTGGCCTCTCCTTGCTTTTGTAACTTCAAGGTAATTCTCATTACCTGCCTACCCGACACAAACATGTGACCACCCGCACCTCCAATGATACACTGCAAAAAATATTTGTGTATTTGTATGTCTATTTCTATCCTCAATTTAATGAACTGATAGTTTTCCATGTTGTATCTACCAGGCATTTCAGTTAAAGTGATACATTTTACTTAAAATACTTTGCATACTTACCTCAATAAATTATACTATTTTAACCACCAGCTAACCCTCCTGCATTCCTCACTCACCAACATGGTACTCAGAATTAAAGTCCACTTGTTTGAGTCCGAGCTCTTTACCAGCCGCCATGAAGTATTTGGTGAACGGAGAGTCCCATCGCATGCTTTCTACGGACAGGGGGCCTGTTCGCCCGTGATACTTTGCTGCCGAAAATAGCAATGTGATATATTATGAACATGGAGAATGGCATTGATCTTGTAAATGATATTTTAATTGATGGTCAATATGACCAGAATTCATAATTTTTATGAGCAAAAAATATTTTCAGATGTAAGACTTTTAACGCGGCAAGCGCACACCATATTTTTTAGCATGTTTTCCTTTGTAGTTTTCAATTTTTTTAAAGAACGGTAGAACAGAATCGTAGTCCCAGCCAGTGTTTCCCATCCCAGCCCATCTGTCGTAGTCTTTTCTGTTGCCTCGGAAGTAGACCATGAAATTTATTGTACTTGTCCCGCCGATAACCTTCCCTCTGGGGTAGAAGTTTCCCTGTAATGACAAATGATAAGAATATTTCGAATTACCATGCCGCCATAATTTGAAGTCATAATCTGCAGAGCATTACCTACTATAAAGATGAGTTTTGGCCTTTACGCGTTTCCTTTTATCCCATCACCGAATTGTTTAAATTAAAGCCTTTCACTAGGATGATTTTAGACCGAAAATAGCTTTGTTATTCTTGTATAAATAATCTGTATTGTCTGGTAAATGTAAATAAAGTTAAAAATGGATATGATAAGAGTTGCAGGAAACTCACAACTTACCTGATTGACGTAGTTAAGCAGAGCGTGTCGTTGCGTAACAACTTTGTAATCGTAATTATATTTGCTCTCAGATAACAAGCCGTAGCTGCTCAGACCAGGCACTTTGCTCTCCGGGGGCGGCTGCCCCCCAGCCTCCAGCACCAGCACCTCCCAGTTCGGGTTCTCGGAGAGTCGCGAGGCCACGACGCTGCCTGCGCTGCCGCTACCAACTGTCGGGTAGACGCTCGTATGATTCGTCTTTGCACAAGGCAGAATATACATGTGAACGCTATAGTATTTGTTTTCTTCAAACCAAAAAATGTGAATGCTAAATCATTCATTTTTGCAAACCGAAAATTATCCTATTCGACACGATAAACATCCGAAAAATTTGTTGAGTAAGTAAATTACGCATTAAGTGTTGTTAATCTTAATTTAAATATAGCCTTAATTAGTCGTATGATTACGAATGTCTTATACATTAGTATGAAATGTTTTTATAATACAAGTGCCAAAGTGCTAGAAGAAACCTGAGTTTCTACTTCATTAATTTCCCGAAAAATTGATTAGAATTTGGTGAAAGTTTTAGCAGTTATCCTTTAACTGAATCATTTATGTATCACAAGCCCAACCAATTAGTTCAATTATAATAATATAAAATAATATAATACAATATATTATGATAAATATAATATAACATCATATAATATAATAAGTATAATATAATATAAATTTTTAACTCCACTCACCCACGATGAAGTCGACCACTGTGTCCTGCTCTAGGGTGACGGTGCGGTAGGTTGTCATGCCGACCAAACTACTCGCAATGGCGGCAAACGCTCCCAAGACAATATGGTTCAAAGCTAATTGAAACATTGTTAACTATAGCTCCTGAGCTTTGTATTTTTCATCAGATTTTATTATAGATTACAAAATTTAAGAAGAATGATATTCAGTTGTACTCTGTTTCGTTTATCAATCTGTACTTTTAGGAACATCAACAGAGCGGCATATAAGGAGAAAAATTAGTTCAACTGCCTTATCTATGGACTTTACATGCTACGAGATTATTTTCACATAAAAATATATTTCTGTAATGTCGCACCAACGTTGCACAAGTAGTACATGTGATCTCCTGATTTCTGTTGTATCTAATATGAATTATCGAATATGAATTATCGACCAAATCTGACGCTGATTTTAAGACATCACAGAATTTTCACAGCTTACAGGGCTTAGACCCGCAACTCACTGATCCAATCTTGCAGTCAGTGCACGGAACTTTAACCACACGGACACCCTGCCGTTCTCTAATAAGTCTTCAAATGAGGGTTAATTAATCTAATTAAATAAAAGGTTAGTAATCCCCATTCTCAAAACTTCCAACGTGAAATTCGCTTTGAAGAAAGGGATTTCTTATTCACGTGGAAATATTCTTTCAATGCGAGTAATTATTGGTGCAACGCTCTCGACTGATGAAGAATATAAACAAAACTTCCACTGGGGTTTATAATTCTCAAATACATATAACGCTCAATATGTAGGTGCAAATAAATATTTCGGATGATACGTGTGCAACCAGAAAAAAATCAATAAACGTTTGTACTCGTTTGTCTAAGCAGATTGTTCAAAAGATACAATTTTTCAAAGTATTTCCTACAAGATCAATTGCTTGTCATTATAAAATGGCATAGCATAATTTTTCCTATGGAATAACATTCCTAAGTTATATGAATCGATAAATTGAAAATCTGAACTAATTGTCATTATCAACTCGGCAATTTGTTAATAGCGAATTATTTTTTAGTTGCAACCGAAATGTAAATTTAATGTGCATGCAATAAATTTTAGACTCGAATTAACCATCCATTTTTGTAACTTGACACCTTCAAACACCCGAATTCCATGTTGACAAATTTTCTTCAGAATCAAGGTCAATATTATAACTTCAAAAAAGCCTGCATGGCACTTTGATTTTATGATCACTTAAGTTAAATCCCGAACAAAGAAGGGACCCTACCTAATTAGCCACTTGAAATCAAGCAGGGCAAACGACTTTTGAATCGTTTGTATCTTTTATTGCTAGTTAGAGTAAACATGCTATACATTCATTAACCAAAATAATAAGTACAAGGTACAATTTCTATTGAATTCAAGTACTAACAACTACATTTCAAGGACAAATACGATACCAGCCAACCACTGAAGAAATTTACAAAAGTTCATTTGTATTAATTCTGTAAACACATTCACTCACAAGCGCTGCTTTTGTCACGCGAAAACAAATTATCCTTCGTACGATCGTTTGATGGAAAAATGACTAATCGAGCAAATGTTACAGTTTCATAAGATACCGCGGTACTACACGAGAAATGTATTATATATCAGGAGATGAGTCCGCATCGATTGCACAAAGCTCAGTCCGGACTCGACTCAAGGTCCTCTAGATAAGGCAAAAATGCCCCTCCTGGTAGCTATATTTTCCTGCGTAGCCAGGCATTTTTTTGTCACTGCGCTCCTGGCGTCTTGTATGGCAGCTTCTAACATCACATTAGCGCTGCCCGCGCATTGCGTAGCAGCAGGGCTCTACGTTCCTATATGTGGCGTGAGTAATGAACCAGTTTCACCTACAGCATCTTCGAATCGTGAGGAGTAATTATAACAACTGATTTTATAATTATAGCCGCACTAACCGCATAATTATAACTGATTATAACCGCAACTTCCGAGAACGCGACCTTCTATTCCAATTTGATGAAATTCCCAATTAATCCTACAGGATTTCATAAAATGCAGCATCATCACGAACAAAATCAATATTATTAGCGCATTTTCTCATTTATGAAAAAAATGCACTATTGTGCTCGCCATATCCGTCTGTCTGTTCGTCCGTCTGTCCGTAACCTCAAGTTTTCGTCGACGAGAAAATGCGCTTTCTGTCACTCACTGCAGTGAGTACTGAGTTATATTTTTTATGAGAATGTTCTTCCTAATTAGTACATTTCAATTTCTAGAGTCATGTTTTTATTACACAATCCCAAGGTATTTAACATAATGGTTTCAGTAGTTAGAACTTATTTTCGACGACCCTTAGTCGTCGGAAAAGTTTGTGATCTCTTCGTTTCAAAAGATAATTTGTCATTAATTTGAAAAAAATTGGCCTGAAAATATAAATTTTATTTGCTGCATCTATATATCCGTATATCTTGACGGTTTACCATATGTATGTTTCACAAAATTTCAAGCCACAAAACATCTATAAAAAAATAAAATAACTTGGTCGTAGCATTGTAACTCAAGTGGACACTCGAAAAGAACAGACGTAGTCGCTGACAATAGCGGTGAATAAAATGATGTAGCTACATTCTTCAGTAGATGCTGTAGCTCACCGAATAAAAAAATTGAATTAATTTTAACCAGTAAACTATGAATTTTGACCCAGAATATCAAATGCATGCATTATATACACATTTTTGTTATTATCTAATATCAGTTCATGTTTAGTCTGAACCACTCGTGAAAGTTTTCTTTTATATCTAATTATCATTGGTGAAAAATTTGTCATTGGTATACAATAAAAGACGTTAAATGTTTAGATTACTCCTTTTGTAGATGAGAAATGCGGCAAATTTTCTGCAAGCCGTACAATTAAGTTTCGCTTCATGATTGTATCAGTGTACAGTGTATGAAAGAGTGTTCATCTGAAGCATCATCGCATGGTTACAATTACCCTTTCTTTATTTCTGCTCCTACGAGTAGCGGTTAAATGATTTCAATTTTCAATTTACCCGACCTTCCAAAAATGAACTGCTGCACAGATCCTCAAAATCCTCAAACATTTTCATAAATATTTTTCAATTATTTTATGCGTATTTTAGGTGTATTTAATACTTTTTTATGCCATTCGCTACCAAGATACTAAGTTTTTTTTAAAATGAATTTAAAGCAATTTTCATACATCTCTTTATTATATTCATGTTCGTATTTCCCATTTACGTTGTAATTTCAACGTGTGGGCCAAGCATTTTGCACATACTGTATTCTCCAAGTGAACCTCACGCACTTGCCCACAGATCCAAAATCTTCCCTCGCATTTCCAAATGCATTTATTTTTCGCAGTAAAACTGAAATTCAGTTTTGTGATACGATACAAATCATGTCGAGGATGATCGAAAAATCGGCTAATTACGTAACTTATTCAAAATTGTGCTATCGTCGAAGTAAGTATATAATAAAAAGTCGGTCACAGATTGATAGGGGACAGAAAAACTAAATTTCTTCACTCATTTAAATGGGAAAATATCGGCATGATAGATCGTCATGTGCGATCTACGTTGCGCTACATAGAAGGTAGATCGCACATGGCGATATCTTCTGCGCTACATAGAAGATTTTCCTGCCAAGAGTTATGTGGTGTAGCCTCAGTCCCCGTAGCCCCAGTCCCCGTAGCCCCAGTCCCCGTAGCCCCAGTCCCCGTAGCCCCAGTCCTCGTAGCCCCAGTCCCCGTAGCCCCAGTCCTCGTAGCCTCAGTCCCCGTAGCCTCAGTCCCCGTAGCCCCAGTCCCCGTAGCCCCAGACCCCGTAGCCCCAGTCCTCGTAGCCTCAGTCCCCGCAGCCCTAGTCCCCGTAGCCCCAGTCCTCGTAGCCCCAGTCCTCGTAGCCCCAGTCCCCGTAGCCCCAGTCCTCGTAGCCTCAGTCCCCGTAGCCTCAGTCCCCGTAGCCCCAGTCCTCGTAGCCTCAGTCCCCGTAGCCCCAGTCCTCTTTGATGAGAGAGGCGCCCTTCTCTCCGATCATCATAGTGGGAGCGGCGAGGTTTGCTGTGGGTGCAGGCAAAATCCATATGAATATTACCGTACTTTTTGCTTTGCAGAAGTTCTTGCTTCATTTAAAACTATCATCAGATCTACTTGTATGCAAGAGTTCCGAAAGCAATTAGAACTATCATCAAATTTACTTGTATGCAAGAGTTACGAATGCAATTAGAACTACCATCAAATCTACTTGTATGCAAGAGTTACGAATGCAATTAGAACTACCATCAAATCTACTTGTATGCAAGAGTTCCCAATGCAATTAGAACGGCTATCTAATAAACTAATATGCAGGAGTTCAGGCTTCATTTAGAACGACCATCAAGTCAACTCGTATGCACGAGTTCTGCATGCATTTAGAATGCTATAAAGTGAACTTGTATGCAGGATTTTTTGCTTACAATTAGTAAGGCCATAAAGTTGAGTGAACAATTTTGCGGTTGCATCAATGATTATTTTATCAATTTATGTAGGACAAGTTCAGCACACTACTAGTAGATCAAACTCCTCATTTTGTTCTGGAAAAATAAATAATTTCAGAATAAACGTTACGGCTCTACACTCGATGATGTTGATCGTTTCTTAAACAAGGCACAATAAATGCTTGTACTCACTGCCTGTAATGAGTGGCATGATGGATGCATCGATGACACGAAGACCAGCCACGCCCCGCACTCTGATTTGGACAATTAATTGGAATTTATTCTCAGGTGTCAGTTATGATCCTTATTTTTGTTAAACCTGGTATACATTAAATATGTATATAGATCAGAAGCTATAATAATTTGTTACTAAATTACTTTGACGAATGATGCCGGACTGATTGGACAACTTAGCAGTTCTGTCCTTCTTACCTAAATCTTTATAAGCGATGCGAGCTCCGTAATGAGTGTATAGTTGGTACTACGCATGCTATAACTGAAAGTAATTTTCAAAAGGTCATGGTGACTAATAATGGAAAGCTTACGGTCTAGAATGATAGAAAGTTTGTCTCTTAAGTCCGCAGGAATGTGAATGAAGTCAGTTAAATTTTCTATTGTAGGCACTTAAGGGCTCGCGTATGAAGCGCTCTCGTTGGCTACAAGACTGAGACTGCTCAGGTAAAATATTGTCACTTCTCAAACAAAATATGATGCTCAGCACAAATTCTCGTGATTGCTGACGTGTGTGAGGAATTGTGTACTAACATATTATTTGTTCATCTTTGTTTCGTACCATGAGTCGTTGATTGTGCAACTCTTTCGTATGTTGGAATATAAAGGTTTATTTACACAAAATATCAGTTTGAACGTGATTTTTTTTACCCTCTGCTGCTTAAGATGCTGGAAGATAATGCTAAAAATAATGCTACCCGAATGCTAGTGACAGAAAGAGTGTTTGTAGTCTATTGATCAGCTAGGAAATTGCTAAAATAATGCTTGCGTTAACCAACCATTTTGTGGGCTAAAATAATTAGTTAATTAACAGGCCAGATTATTCATTACTGAAAAGATGATTTGGATTTAATATAAGTATTTTTCTGGATTATAGTTTCGATACACAGTCTTCCTCTTATAGCGTCATTAGGTTGCGGGCTGCGTCAGTAGCGTCAAGTTGAGTGCTTTGGAATGTTAGTCGCTGATTTCGATATTAATTATTATTTCCCTTGTGTAGGATTCTACTGTAGTTTACCTTTTATAGGAAACACAAAATAAGAATTTGTAACAATCTGTTGAGATTTGGCGGTGTAGGGGAAATTGACGATGTTGCTTCGCTAACATTTCGTCCACAGTAAAATTTTGCCAACAGCAGGTCAGATTATTCAATAGGTACAAAGGACATGAATAAGCAGAAAAATGGGGCAAAATTTGAACGAATTATTTCTTCTTAAAGTTTGCGGTGACGTTGTTCGGCCTTAACGTGTTCGTATTGAGTAGTAATTATTAAGCTATTTACTGGCTGATCGGGCGAACATGGTCTGTAGTGAGAGGTCGTAAATTCTAACAAGGAACTGGGTCCTAATTTTCTGCGGACGAATGTCCTGCCGGGGCTGAAGGCTGCGGAATACTGAGGCCGTTCTCCAGGGTGGTGTGGGACTGCTACGTCCGAAACATATACTAAGGATATAAGGACTCACTTTAGCCTCGGCGAGACGACGCCATCAGGGTCAGATGAGGGGGCCATCTTGCACGTGCTGCTGGGGTGGGCACCAGACCCCGCCATGTGGCGGATGTAGCAGCGCCAGTAGTCGTCTGAGTCGTGCGCTAAATGCTTGCACCCTAGAACTTTCTGCAGAGAAAATGCCATTGAAGAATAGTGCCTATAGTGATGTAAAATCAGCGCCATTACTTTATATATGCCGATATCTTATGTTAATTGATTATATTGCTACCTCTCGGAGAGGCAGCGGTAATGATGTTTTTATGCAATTTTTACTGAAGAATAATTCAACAATTAATTTGTGAAAAAAGAAAGGGAGTTCTAAAATTTATCTATTGGTCATTAAGTGTGGAGCTTTTGTTACATCTAAATACTGTGAAACTTGCAAATGAGGTATCACTGATGAAGACGTTTGTGAGGTATCATTGATACAAGAGGCGATTGCGAATGATCACTCAATGATTGAGACAATTGTAAGGATCTCTGTAAGGGATTACGCATATAGTGAGAGAAGATTGTGTGCTATTACCGACTGTGAGGGATTGCTCATTGTTAGGTACTATTGTGTTGGATTATGAGGTACTATGTTGTATTTACATTGACTGTGAGGGATCACTCATTTTGAGAGGCGTTCATGAGGGATCACTCACAGCTATACGCATTCCTCAACTGATTCTCGGATACATAGACGACTTGCTCATCTGGGGGGCATCCGCCCAGGAGGCTCTCGCGTCAACTCAAAGAGCTCTCGACCTCCTCCAATCGCTGGGCTTCCTCATCAACTGGAAGAAGTCGGCGCTAGAGCCCACCCAAGACACCACCTGGCTGGGCGTCCGTTGGCTGCTGCAAGCCGGTCGGTGGTCTCTCCCAACAGACCCAGCCTCCTCCATCGTCAAATCTATGTTACGCCTGAGGGACATAGGGTATGCCTCAAGACGACGCTGGGAAAGTCTTCTGGGCTCCCTGAACTTCGCGGCTCAGCTTATCCCAGAATACCGCCACCACTACTTCCTGATTGCGAAGCCCCAACTACTAGGCCCAGCTCACAAAAGAGACCAGAGGCATCCGATCCCAAAGACTCTCCTCACCGGCTTAGAAACATGGATCAGCCTTGCGCCGCTCACCAAGACCGCTCCATTCCAGCGGGAGGCATCAGCCCTCACAATCTGGACGGACGAGCCGGCGACCAAGCGCATAGGCAGTCTATTCAGATCGAATTTAAGAATAAGGCGCGGGATCGCGGGAAGCGATCCCGCCGGTAATTATTACCGCCAGATTGGCGGGAAAACTGAATCTGAATGACCGCCTGCGACATAGCGCATTGGCAGTCTATTTAGATTGAATTTAAAAATAAGGTGCGGGATCGCGGGAAGCGATCCCGGCGGTAATGATTCCCGCCAGAGTGGCGGGAAAACTGAATCTGAATGACCGCCGGCGACAAAGCGCATTGGCCGTCTATTTAGATTGAATTTAAAAATAAGGTGCGGGATCGCGGGAAGCGATCCCGCCGGTAATGATTCCCGCCAGAGTGGCGGGAAAACTGAATCTGAATGACCGCCGGCGACAAAGAATCTCGGTAGTCTATTAGATCATAACTTTCATTTAAAACACGGCGGGGAGGCAAACCCGCCAGAAGAAAATGAAAGAAAATCACAAGTTCGAATTTAAAGATTAGTCAATCGTTCAATTTGTAGTTCGGTGGGAATTACTTAACTCGAGAAGCGTTACACGTTCTCGACGAATTTCCCTGCGCTTTTTGAAGATAAAAAATTTTGCTTGAAAAATGCTTAGAGAAGCATAGATAATTTATTATTACCCGGAATTAGATTTAAGGAGTTGAAGCGCATTCCCCACCCCACGTGGGGTCGGCTTCGTATCCGTTATGTGCTCGAGGGAGAACACCGACGCACGCGTGCTTCCGGTGCTTGCCAATTCCCGACGGGTATAGCGGCGGTAAGCAACTACCGATTGTACCAATGGCGGTTGTCTGGTAGCGATTCCCGCCGAAGCGGTAACGCCTACCTTACCTAAGTTGGTCTGTCGCCCAGAAGTTAGGCTTTCTGGACTTGCGCGGAGTACCTGGTGCCTCTTACGAGTACGCAGGTCAAGGAACGGCACGTAAGACAAGTGTACCACGAAGCCGTCTTCCTCTCCAGTAAACTAAGGTCATACCTCAAGCATATCGTGAGGGGATGCGAAAGCTCGAGTGTATTGGCTTCAGAATACGCTATAGACCTGATCAAACGATTTGATCGCCCTACGACAGCATAGCTAACGGGCTCGCCAGCGGCTGAGCGAAACGGGCTAAGGCTATTTTGTGCAGTGCTTATGCAAGTAAAATGAACCTTATTAAATAATCACTGGCGGAGCAAGAAAGTAATTTCACTGAATCACCGGGATCACGCCCAGCGGGAGTCAGCCGGGATCACGCCCAGCGTGAGTCACTACCGCCTCACAAGCGCGAAACCAAACACTTCACTCGCGCAACTGTAAACAGTTGTTAGAACAGTGGTTACTTAATTTAACACATAGCATTTTGAAGGCGATTGCCTTACAATTATCAAATGATAATTGCATAAAAAGGTGTTACTAAAACTCACTTGGTGATACACACTGAAGATGGTGATGCAAAGCAGTCATCAGAGGAGCTGGCGCAGCAGCTCGGGCTAGTGCGTATCAGCGATTGAGAGAGCATGCAAGCTGCGCCTCCACCGCGGCGGCCGCTCAAGGTCAACGAAAGGAAAGCTGGCGATGGCGGAAATCATTTCCGCAGAGCGATGGTGGCAATCATTTCCGCAGAGCTTTCTTCCTTTTTCTTTACTGATAATTTTCGTTTGAGGAACGAAAACAATCTAATTAGAGCTCGGAGTTTTAGGCTGTTTGCGTTATCCCCCAGCTACCAACTCCAGACCTCTCCGCGCAGGTACAGATCTTAGTCGCAAAAGGCGTCGTCTACCAGGTCCCAAGGCAGCGGTGCTACCAGTCGCGAATCTTTCTGGTACCCAAAAAAGACGGGTCAAAACGCCTCATCATCGACCTGTCACGGCTCAACGATTCCATCGTTTGTCCCCACTTCAAAATGACCAACCACGTCACGGCTACAGGCCTCATCAACCCCCCGGCCTGGGCAACGTCAATAGACCTCAAGGACGCTTATTATCACGTACCCATACGAAAGAATCTACACAAATTCCTGGCCTTCCAACTGGGAGACGAGCTGTTCTTATTCAGAGCGCTCCCATTCGGCCTGTCTCCCGCACCCCTGATTTTTACGAAGCTGCTCAACGCACCCCTGCAGACGCTCAGGAAGGAGGGTGTGCACGTTCTCGGATACATAGACGACTTGCTCATCTGGGAGCCATCCGCCCAGGAGGCTCTCGCTTCAACTCAAAGAGCTCTCGACCTCCTCCAATCGCTGGGCTTCCTCATCAACTGGAAGAAGTCTGCGCTAGAGCCCACCCAAGACACCACCTGGCTGGGCGTCCGTTGGCTGCTGCAAGCCGGTCGGTGGTCTCTCCCAACAGACCCAGCCTCCTCCATCGTCAAATCTATGTTACGCCTGAGGGACAGAGGGTATGCCTCAAGACGACGCTGGGAAAGTCTTCTGGG